AGGTATCATGTTTCTATTGAGGTACCTAGTATTATGTAATCTTATTTACAAACATTTGATCCTCATATATATTTATGTACATTTATTCCCACACACACAATTTTTAATTTCATATCACGAAAAAAATAATTTCATTTAACAGTATGTTCTTTTTACATTTTCTTATTAATGATTTGATTCTCTGTGGATTATAACAATAAAAAAAAAATTCCTTGCATTTGTTCAAGCAACCATAAAGAAATTACTAGAGCATTTCAATAATTTATTTTTACTGAGGAAACAAACTGAACCTCTTAACATTAGAAGCAAGTCCGAGAATTCTTATTTAAAAAAGAAAAGAAAGATATGCTGACCAATTTTATTCATTATTTTATAATTGCCATCCATCTCAATAAATAAGTATAATGTCTTGTGATTATATACTTTAATGGTGTGATACATATTTTGATGCATGTGTATGCAAGGCAGGTGCCATGTGCAATACATGCTTAAGTGATTATGTATCTTTTGATACATGACTGAGGAGGCAGATTTTTTTTTTTTACCCTACAGTATGTTGCCATTTCTTTCTGTGGTAGACCAGTTGCCATCCAAGGCTATAGAACCCAGTCTGTCCTGCTGTTTACCCATAGCTAGTGGAGAGAAGAGGATTTATACCTTTCCCAAGGACATTAGCACATAAGTGAATGTAATGGATTCGACTGGAATTCAAACTCGGCTCTCCGATTCCTCAATCCAAGACACTATCCATTACTCCAACATGCCTCCTATCTGTATGTACAAAAGCTTAAAAAAGTATTAAATTTTTTCATCTTCCAAGGCATTTCAATAAATTATTTACACTATTTATATTCATACACTTGTACTCATCTTTGATATTGTAATCACAATGTTCTGTACATTGTAACCTCCAGCCTCCATCAGGTATATATTGATCCGGGAAACCTACAGGAAATTTCGAACTGAACCCTTTATTTAATCTACAATGGGAACTCTTCATCTTCCACTGCCTGTGCTTAGGGATATCTTGTCTAGTTCTTATTTTTAGTACTGCTCATTTATTGCACACCCTGTTTCCACCGAGTCAAAGTACACACTGCCTGGCCCTGGGATTGAACTCACAATTACTAGGTTATCAAATTCACAAACTAAACCATTAATCCACTCGACTATTGTCCTGTAGATTTGTGAATTTGGTGACATTCCCTGTAGGTAACCCAGATCAATATACATCTGATGAAGGCTGGAGGACACAATGGCCGAAATGTTGTGATAACAACAAAGAGGAGTACAATTGTCCAAATTTTAAATAGTATATATAATGATAACTCCTCATTCCAGAAATTATGACAGAAATTCCAATAAATGTGGTTTTTATTTTTTTTACAACTGTTGAATTAATTTTAACTGCTTACTCCATTGAATCCAAGTTTTAAAACATTTCAATGAAATTGAATTTCATTTTTTTTTTTTTTTTTACTTCCTTTCTTCTGATTTTAATTTTACTCAGTTAACATATAAAGAAAAGCTCAAAAGACTTATCTTTCAATTTCAAGTTTTGCAGATATACTGCTTGTCAGAGTAAGATAAATTGTCTATTAACTATAAATGTTGCTATATTTTGTTGGGTGTTAACAATTTTATTCTTTTTATTAAAATTTTAATTTTCCTCCAGGTACAAATAATCCAAGTCAATTCATACTGAAAATAGAAACTAAATACAAATAAAGGGTTTTTTTTTTTAACAATTATTTTCATCCTGTACAAGAACCACTCAAGATAGAGCATTACAGTATAAGTACTCCATTTTCAGCCTGATCTGGCTCTTGTAAAGTTAGAGGATAGCAAGAATCGAGTATTTACTGGAGCGGTACAGAGGACCGACCATTTTTCCAGTATCTTTACCAATGGATCTTATGTACAAGTTCCATAAGAGATCTGGGTTGAGTTTAAGTCCTGATAAATGCTCAAGGCATGGGGCCCTCCTTGAAAGAACACCCATTCATCACAATAGCTGAACATTCAGGATTTACTCGATGATGGAACATTATTAGTTTGATTTTTCAAGGCATTGCATGTGACCAGCCTGTTTTTCCAGCACTGAGCTGTTAAAGCTAGATCAGAGTAGAGATCAAATTCTAGGCTCTGGTCAAATTGACACAAAATGATGTTTTTGTTCTCGTTCAGTCAACAAAGTTAAGCAGTGTTGAGCCTGGTCAGTAACTAGATGAGTAACCACTTGGGAATACCAGGTGCTGTCAGCTTGAATATGCACGTGATGTAATGAATAACGGCTCAAAATGAGAAATCAGAGAGCCATGTTCGAATTCCAGTTGGGTTTGTTATATTCACTTATGTACAGAGATACTTGGGGAAAGGCATAAATCCATCTCTTCTCCAGGAGTCAAATAGGAAGACTTATCTGAAAATCATTATTATCTGAAAAAAAAAAAAAAAAAAAAAACTGTTCATACAATATTAACTTGCAAAAAGAAAATTA